GTGTGTTGGCTTAATTTTGTCGTAATCAATATCGTAATGTGTGCAGTTTGTCACCGCTCCTGCCTCGTGCCATTCGAGTTTACTGAACAAGTGATATCTGTCTGAGAAGGGGGACCCTGAAGGGAAATTTCTTCCTGGAAGAGCGGCTGTTTGTTAGATGATTTGATAAACTGTCGAATTCAGTTGTATGGCTGTCATATCAGGCACCACCGCATTCAAAGCTGAATTGCCAGCAAGAAAATGACAGTACCAAGGCGCGTTACAGCGATAGATGGTTCTCTAACGGAAAACAAGGGGGGGGGGGAGGGGCGCGCGCGCGTTGTAATTCTGATAGCCAAGTTGGTTCCCCAGCTGCAAAGTTAGTGCCATTTGTATTCATTAAAATAAGAAGCGATTCGAAACAGCGGTATTTCTACTAATTACGTTGCTGGGATCAAGGAAGTTCACGGCAGTAAGTGTGGAGGGCAGCACACAATATCTTCTTTTTAATTGTCATGGATAAAACTGGACTTAGTTAACGTATATCCGCCGAGACTCCTGTGTTGTATCCTGCGAGAACAGCCTTAGTGGTCTCTTAATTTTGTTCCATTTTATTGAATGCGTTACTAAAAACGCATCCTTAGGCGAGAATAGAAGTTCATTTTCCGGGAGGCAGAACCCTGCCAATGAATACTGTACGCCGCGAGGAACACGGAATGTGAGAACGTAACACTGACGTTCTCGCTGAAGTTTCTGTCTCAGCTGGAAGGCAGCCAAGACAATGTATACCGCTAGTCGGTAACACAGTGCTTTGAAAACTGGGAAGAAAACCATTTAATCATTGTACTACGACGCTAAGCAAGTTAAATCCGTACAACGAGAGGCGTTCCGTCCTGTGGAACGGCTATAAATATACTCGGAGACGCTTAAGTTCATCCAGGATGTCCCAGAGCAAAAATACACCTCTGTAGACGGAGCTTGCCATATGATCTCCGTTATGAGCTGCGTAATTATTACGCCTCGCACTACCTGAGATAGGGGGGTGTAGAGACATTTCCAACATCATCTTTTGGGGAAAAGCAGGAGGCAGGGGCGTCACTTTGTCCATTTTCGGGAGCCTGAGGTCCCCCGACTCCCCAATGCTCTTTTGTGTTCCCATCCCTTTCATGCATAGGTGCAAAAAATGAAATATTGGGCCAACCAAATGCAGGAAGTGTTTGAACCGCTGACACAAAACGTACCTAAGCGCACTACCATCAGCACCACCATTATCATCACATCACCATTATCGCTATCACATCGGTTTAAAATGGGGAGTCACTCCTTAACATCTACCATGTTTTGGAACCGTTCAAATAAACCTTTTAATTTTAATATTAGCATCAGGGATGCAAATTAACTGTTGCTTTCAGACATCTCTCTCGAGCCCACTCCATCCGCCGATTTTAAAAAGCGACACTCTGGATAGAGACTAGCATAGCTTCCTTAAATTGGAAATATCTTCTCTTACATGCATGTCACGTCTATTCTGAACTTTGCTATGTGCAGGTCAGTTTAACATCCTTCAGCAGTATCCTTCAGGTAAATGAACACAAGGTACACCGGCAAAGCGTTGTAAAGTGATCTTTCTGTAGTCTTCATTGCCATTTCACCTGATGATGTTCTTCTCGAAACAATCTCGAAAAAATCTCGAAAAAAGCATATTGGAGACATCATAGATCACTGGGTGAATTTGACCTTAACCGAAGCACTTTACAACATCTGCTCCAGCAGCGTGATTTGCACGAGGAAGCCGGTTGGCGGGGAAGGGAGTGAGACCCACAACTTCCTAAACATTCTAGTATCAGCCCTGTAGGCATTGACTGCAAAGAAATAATCCAAACATCTATCTGCCTTCCTCTCGTAACTTGGAAGAACGCTACTTGCTCCAAACCGGTGGAAATGGTTATCACAGCATCTAAGCGTTTTCTCAGCACTGCGCACGCTATCATCCATTGGCCAATTGGCCGCACAATACATAAACGTGTTATGTGCAGCGGCGCCAGCTTCACAGGGTACTATTCTGTACATTTTTACCCGGAGCTTTGCTGTGGCTTTGCCGCTTAATTCCAAAAGTTTTTGTTTGCTTATGGGAAAACATTAAAAGAGTAACTCTGACCATTTGTTGCCGTGATGCTAAAGTGTCCTGGAAGCTGGCTGCTGCAGGATCAAAGTTCACATACGCCATACCGGTCTACGCCACCACCGCTTGTGGTGCGGTTCTTAGTGTAGCCAAACATTTTCTAGCGTAACACGCTTATACTGGCAAAACCGGCCGCGGCACTAGCTGGACCCGCTCCATCCAGGCGAAGGCGATGCTCGTGCCTCACTGGTGCTGGGCTGGTCCTCCTTTGCGCCACCATTAAGCAAGCTTCCAGCCGCTGTCGCGGGCTGAATCTGCGTTCCGCTGTGACTGACCTGGCGGGCAGGGTCATCAAAAGGCGCAGAAGTTTGACGACTCCAGGGATGGACTCCCGCGCCCTTTGTTATACCCTTCGTTGCAGAGAACGGACAGGGGGAACATACGTTCCCCCTTGGTAAATGGTAAGGGGACGGTTGCTCACTTGTCTCTCTGGTGACGCTGCCCCTGCTGCCCTGTCCCTCCGTAGGGCTGGTACGCGCAGCTTCTGTGCAACTAGGAATAAAAATGCTACGAGCTGAAAAAGGAAAGAAATGGACAAAAGAGGTCTTTCTAAATCATATGAGCAGCGCATTACAACATCATAGACTTGCTACGTCCCCGTATTTTCTTGAATATTGTTTACGCATTCCCTGCAATTCTTAAAGCATCATTGCAGGTCAGGTGATTGCTATAGGCAATGTCAAATGATCTTATTCTAGAAAACGACTGATTTTTACTCCTAGTTATTAAGATAATAGCTTATCTTTTATTCATCTTATCATATTCAACCACTCAAATTTATTACTCTTGTAGCATGCGGAAATGAGATGATACGAAACATATTACTCATGTGCTTCATTGGTAATGATGCAGAAAACATGGAACCAGTGCCACAGGCATAATACTCAGAAGCTGGCCCTTGCCAGTCCGGCCGCCACTGATAGAATGCTTGTTCAGAGCACAATTGCGCTGCAAGTTATGGGGTCATAAGTCCCAAAATTGAATAAGATCAGTAAATGTACCCCTACAATAGTCACCAAATCTATTTTTAACCGAACAATTAGTGGGGTTATAACTTAAAGACTGTAACCTCGGGGTGACCTCGGCTTGTGCAGTGACTTGCCTGGAAATTGAAAGTATTGTCTCCGTGCACGAAGCGGATGCATAAAAGATGTTTAACATTTTGCGTGGCTCTGCTCCGATGCTTCTTATCAAGTCCTAAAAGCGTACAAGAAAACGGGTCTCCGTTCCCCTGGCCGAGAATGGCTCAGCCTCTGCCTCCAGCTTAGATCAAAACTAAATCACACTAAAACCGTTGAAAAGACGTGTTCCAAGGCACACTGGTGCTGTGTTAGAACATAGTTATACCTGTTAAATTTTTCTACATGTAAGCTGAAATTTATTGAGGGTGGTAATGGGCGAAGAAAATATTACATGATGGTGTCATCATGAAAGGCATCTACGCACAAAACTTCTGAAGGTGTTCAATGAAGAGAAAAGATCGGCACATTGGTAAAAGCCATGTCTGTTTGCCTTTTAAAGCTACCGCAAAAATACGAGGGTGGACATGATGACAACACACGATGGCCATTGAACTAGAGCGTACAAAATTATTGATCATACCTGGGGAATTACGGATGTTGCATGTTAACACGCAGGTTGCAATTCAACATCAGTTTTTACCTTTCCCCTAATAATGTGTGAAATATAGACGTGTATGTTATCTATTTTTATTAGATAACAAATGCGTGATACCAATGACAGCAATATCTATTGGTATGCTACTTGTAAGTGGATTATTAAGAACTGTAATATCCATTAATGCAATATCCAGTAGTATATTATCCGTTTGTGGAACATCCATTGGTGTATGTCTTTTGGTGTAAAATACATTACCATACTGAACATAGGTTGGCAGGCATCTGGTTGAATAATCATTTACTAGTCCGGTCTTAACCTCTAGCTACTGAGTCACATTACACATTGCATATATTAGGTCAGTATTGGGAGACACCACCGATCGGCCTTTTGGATGTTCTTGTAACATTGCGCTAGTATTTGTAGCAATGCAATCATAGCGATGTGAGGGAGCTTCATTACGGCAAGGCTTGGAGATAGCAGCCACATAGGGAAAATTTGTGCCAATAGTACGTTTCAGACGGTTGCTGGGATAGGGAGACTGCAACCTCCAATACGATTTAAGCGGGGACGAGTCCCCCCGTCCCCTTGGTGACGTCGTCCCCGCCAACAGCATCTCTTCGCCTGTAAGGGATGTTTTGACCTAAACATCAGTTATTGGTCACTTACCCAACTCCACGTGGAGGCTTGCATTTTGAAACATGGTGCACCATTGCCAGTATCGGTAGCCCCGTTTGTTCTTTTGTTACGCCGTAACTGATAACGATAAACCAAAATTGACTCAAATGATCGACTGAAATTTGTCGAGGAACTCCAATTCGCTTTGCAATCGTTTTTCATTTATTTCTTTCATTTTCTTCCGCTCTATTGGCTCTAGGAACGATTTACGCGCGTTTCGAGAATTTTTAGAGCAAAATTTATGTTCGCTTTTTAGCATTACTGGACGCACGCACATCACAGCATTTCTCGGGACAGAAGACTGCACTGTGAAATCTCTGGGCACGTCAAACCACACACCTTCTCAGAACACAGCGTCTTTGTTTTAGCGACCTTACTAGATGTACTAAATCCCTAAAGGCCCAAGACGAACATTGTCGAACATGGTCCCAAATGAGCATGGGCACCAAGCTCCATCGGTTTATCCTGGAAAACAAGACGCAGATGAGCCGTGACCGTGGCGCTGTCTGCTTGGACGCAACGTGTCGGATGAGGCAAAACCTACTTGACAAACATGTAGATGCCGGTGGACTCCATGGCCCTGCTGATGCCCTTCCAGGACTTGACGATGCTGAACTTCTGGCGAATGGTGAGTGGAAGGCGGGGGTCGGCCGCCGGCGGCGCTGGCGGCGGCTCCATGACCGCCTTGCCGCCGCCGCGGCCGCTCTTCGCCTTCCCCTTGCTGGCGCCGCCGCCCATCCTGGTCCAGCGGGCGCTCGAGTCCACCAAGAGAGGCGCGTGCACGCCCGAGCCTCGGAGGCCGCTCAGCGCTCACCGCTACCTTCCATTGCACGTGTTCCTCGCGGCACGGGTGCGCAGCCGCAGGCGCGTGGCGCGTGCCGTACGTGGGCGGAGGGAGCCTGCTAGAGCACGTGTCCGGCTTGGACTGAGGTCCCCGCAGAGGAGAGAGACCGGGACGGACGGTGAGGCCCAGCGATCCTGGCATGCACCTCGATCAGCGGAAGTCGGTATGACGGGCCGGGCCGCCACGCTTCGTCACGTGGCTCGCTCTCCGGGACGAACTGAGCGGCCGTGGGTCATCGCGCAGTAACAGAGTCGCTCTCCTGAGATCACTGGACGGTGCGGGTCTGCGCCGTTCACCTCCTGAACCTGCGGGCTGCGATGACTGCTTCTGGAGCTGCCTGCCCTTGCCACCGCGCTCGTCCAGCTCCAGCCAATGGGCCACAGAACGCGCTGAGGCCTCGGGCGAGGTCTCTGCCGGTCCTGGTCTCAGGTTCTGGTCCAGATCCGACCAGATCAGGTTCTACCGGTCCTGCTCTCAGACTGGTGTCTCAGGCGATAAACCTGACAAAGGCGTCAAAGGTGGGTTCTCCACCGGCACCAACCTCGGAAGACCTCTCCACCGGTCCCAGCCTCGGCGGAGCGCTGCGGCGGCCAGGCCCGCCGCCGGGCCGCGTCGCTGCCGACGGTGGCACTGCCGGCGCCGTCGGAGCCGACGGGAGCGGCCGGGCGCGTCGCGGCCGGCGCCGACGCGCCGCCGGCGGGCACACTGACGTAACGATCCGCCCCAGGCCGACACGGCGCCCGTCATAGCGCGTCCCGGCTCGCCGGCCGACGCTGGTCGCAGACTGACCCGACTGGTGACGAGCACGCTCTCTGCGTCTCCCGCTGTCTCCAAACTGACCGCGGGGGCGTCACTCAGCCACAGCGGTTGTCGACGGAAAGCGGAACCGATCGTTGGCTTGTTTCCATGCGGGTGACTTGCTGAGTGATTGTGTTTTTGTGGTGTAAGAGATCTGAGCTTCTACCGACCATTGGATAACCAAACCGATACTGACATTCGATTTGTCTCTAATTAATCAGCCAGGTTTCACAGGCGAACAGTCACTCCCTTTGTGAGCAGTCAATCAGCTGGTGAGCAGTCAATCCGATGGTGGGCAGTCAATCCGCATTTGCTTTGGCGGGGTCGAAAAGCCCCTTCACGAGTGCCGAACATATGTCCATTACATATATGATTACGTGTGACTTGACTTGCAACTTGACTCAACTTAACAACTTACGTTAACTTAACTTGACTCTCCTCCGGACAGCGTGCAATTATGTACGTGAATACCAACTGGACGAACTGTTTGCTCCGATGATTTCGAGCTGCTCTCTTTCAATAGTCTGAATTTTTACACTTCATGACGTGGTCCCCGCTACGGCTGGCACTGCTAGCGAGGCTCAATTTAATTTTTTTGCATGGCCAATGTAGAACAGATATGAGTGCCTTCCCACATACCCCACCAACGCTTGGGTTAAGTGCTATGTGAATCATTAATTTCTATTGCTAGCAATTCCTTTAAAACCCCGTATGTACGTTCTTCAACAGCATTCAACGCAATATTCCATGTAATCCATGCATGCACTTGAAACTTGTTAATAACGAAGATATGCCATGATAAAAACGGCAAGTAAAGTGACAAGTGAAGTGAAAATGACAAGTGTCAAGTACAGACATGTCTTAAGCTGGTTTTAGCCTTTGCCAGGACATCGCTGGTAGCATAACCAGCTCAGCCCTGGTTTTTGGGAGGCTCTTCTCAGCTCGGTCAACGCTCATAACATCTGGCTAAATGATGTAGCAGCTGTTTGCATGTTATCCTGAAGATCAAGCTTGTGTCACCAAATTTGCCGACCTGTGAGCTATGACCTTGCTATGAAAACTTTGTACGGCAAATATGGGGACAAAATGCGTTCAGCAACGCATTCTTGTCACTGCGACCACCAGCTCACCTCAAGCGGCTCTAGAGACGTGGTTATGTTGTAGTTAATTAAGATTTGCTTAAGTTTGGCTAAATGTGGCTGAAATGCAATGGAAATGGATGCAATGCAATGGGATTATAGCAGGGCAAAATATACTGTCTGGGTGCTATTCTGGTGTAGTGTTTGGCAATGTCTTCGCGGGCCTACCGGTGTAGCGCTACCAGTTGGTATGTCCTGTTAACGGGACAATGCACATGGGCATGACATGCCATTGGAGTGTTGCTCACTGACTTCACAAACCCTGTTCCCAGTCTCCCATTCATGCCTCCAGCCGAAGCTGTTCTTTATTGTTCCAGTTAGTGGAGCTGAAACCTACATCGCACGCGGCCCGAGGATTGTGTGCGATGTGGACTAACTTACACCGAACTGTGGGCTGCGTGTGCTGCGTATGTCGCGTGTTTTGCCTAGCGTTTACGGATGGGTCTTCGCTGCGGCCGCGCTGGCCGCGGTAGTGATGTCCGCGACCGAGCTCCGCGGCCGAGCTCCGTGGCCGTGATGTCCGCGGCCGGGCTCCGTGACCGAGCTCCGTGGTTGTGCTCCGCGGCCGAGCTGTTCGGCCGAGATGTATGCGGACGAGCTCTGCGGCCGAGTTCTGCGTCGGTGTTCTGCGGCCAAGCTCTGCGTCAGTGTTCTGCGTCAGTGTTCTGCGGCCGTGCTCTGCGATCGTGCGCTGTGACCGTGCGCTGCGGTCGTGCTCTGCGGCGGTGCTCTGCGACCGTGTTCCGCGTCGGTATTCTGCGTCGGTGCTCTGCGGCCGTGTTCCGCGGCCGTGCTCTGCGACTGTCATACCCGAGGTCGCACTATCCGTGCCGTGCTGTCGTGCTGTGTGCCGTGCTGAACGTTGAGAGCTCGCGGCGTCCGTGATATCCGCGGCCGAGTGAAAAGGCTGTTGCCAAGGGCGCTACTTGGGCAGTGTTGCTCTCGGCCCGGGTCGAGCGGTGCAGTGACGGTGACATTACATAGTGATGTCTACTCTTTTGTTAACAGGGCCGGTTGTAGTCGGTGTCTTGTTTGCATGTCTAGTTTGATTTAGTGCTCGCTTCTCGTTTGTTAGTCACTTAGTTTGTTATAATCTTGAGGTCTAATTTAGTGTTAGTCAATTCCATACAGTTTTCGTATTCTTTTTGTATTGCTAATTTTATTGTCTGTTCTGTCGGTTTTCGCTCTGTTTAGTTCTAGGTCTAGTCTGCCTATTTCCGAGGTTTCGTTGCTTTCCCGTCAGCGTCCACGGGGAGTTCGGGTCGAGTCTTGGTCAGGTGCGTGTCTGGTTGGAGTTGAGGCGCGGTGCTGGCGATGGGCGATCGTGAATATAGTGCACGTGAAACCTCGGTGCCTTCGACGTGGCGGCCGTCTACAAAAAGATCACGACTTGTGATGAATTTGTATTGCGCTTTGGAAGCAAATGATGGTGTACTTGGTCCTGTGTCAGCTTTTCTCTATGCACATCACGCGCATAGAAGGCCTTGTAAATGTAACGCATGCAAATGTAGAAGAATCGAATGATCTTCCTAGGTAAAACGTATAGATTTTCCCCACTTTACCCTGCATGGCACGTGAACCGTAAGATATACTGCGAAAGAATGTCAGTAGAAGTTAAAGGCGACGCACCGGGTATGAGGTCGACCCGAAGATGCTATTCTCCACACAACGAAAGGCGGTGAATGTGGCCAGGGCGGTGATGGCTGGCCTATTTGTTGGGCGAGAAATTAGAATAACCACCCAATTTTCCGTGCACGGGCGGGGACCCATGAGCCTTCTCTGGGCTGGCCGCTCCCTCTCTCCACAACTTTAACATCAGGCTTATATGGCGATGGATGGAAGGAGTTTAACGTGAATGCCTCCGAAGGTCCGCCAACGCAAAACGGGCTCCATCGGCTCTGGTTGCGTACCTTGTTGATGGCTTTGTTTACACCTGTGAGCAATGTCTATTCTTCGCAGGACTTGTGCAAGATGATGCTATCCCATGAAAAACATGAACATTTGCCGTATTTAGTATATTGCCTTCAGCGTTTGTGCAAAAGACGTCATACCCGTGGAGGCTTCAGTGCTGTTGGATCGGTACACCGCCATGGAGCACTGAGCTGTACCAAACGCGTGTAATCCCAGAGGCTGCTGATCTGGAATTGAGCCCCCAGAATCCAATGTGTGCCATTATGTAATTCCAAAGGCTGCTGTCGGGGCATCCCAGCCGACGTCAACTGCGCGGCGCGTGACTCCACGGACTGCGCGGCGCAACTGCAGGCTGCGCGGCGCAACTGCAGGCAGCGCGGCGCAACCGCGGGTTGCCTGGCACGTGGGCGTACAAACCCACAACACCTTGATCACAGAGCGATCTGAGTAGTGCAGAAAGGGGCGAGCTGTGCCGTTTATTTCGCAATTCGAACGTTCACGCGTTTGATTGGAACACGTGCGATTCAATGTCAGCCATGGTTAAGCACATTTCATGTCGCAAGGTGAGGGACCGGTCGCAATGCCTTTGCCAGCCATGTCTTGCAGAGCTAAACCCCAAAATTAATAGTTTGGGTTCCTCTTGGTTTTCTAAACCCATGAGGGATTTCCATGGCACGCATGCAGACTCGATACTGAATCCAAGTCTAATGGCACTGATCAATGGGAACGTCATGCAGTTTTTTTCCATCACCGTTTTAAAAAGCAACGCAGCTGCGTATAAATGCGTGATGATATGAAAACGTCTCGTTCCCAGTACACGGATGGCTTCTTCCCAATCAGCTGGGTAAAATGGCTTCAGCAATATTCACGCCCCATCACAGCGTACTGATGCCATGCACGTTCTTTAGCGTGCGGTGATTTGTTTTAACTCGGCGGGCGTGGACGTGCCTTGTAATGTGTCGCATTACCACACGTTGGGCCGCATCACATAATGGGTGACATTACCCAGTACATGATGGGTCACATTACCCAGACGTGACTTATCTTGTCTGATGCAATCAGACAAAGAAGTCGGGAGCTAGAACTCTCTCTAGGTTCATTGCAGTGTTCAACTCAGCTTTACCCACAAATAAGAATCCAGTCCCCCGCCAGTCAACGTTTCATAAATTCCAGATCTCATCTGGTCTCCTTCGTCACAGCAAAACCATTTATCAGTATAATCGTTATAAATCTATCCTTTGCAGCTGGGTTTAATACCAAATGTCAATCCGGGTACGGGATGTGGCATGAGGTCATTTGTCGCGAGTCTCAGTTAGTAGCACAAGCTGGTTTCGCGAAAACTCAAAGCTCACTTGTCAGTATCTTTTCCCCACCAATCACACCATTGTGTCACAACATACGCCCTCGACCCCTGTTGACCGTGCTGGTCGACAGGGGCCCAGTTCAATTAATCAAATGTATGAATTTACGCAATTTTCATTTGTGTCGGACTTGTAGACCTGAAACGAATTACTTTTACCTATGCGTCATCATGAGTCATATCAATCAAATGCCATTCATGAGGTTTCACGACGCACTCAACTGCTGG